TTTGAGAAATACGCAGACCGTGGTGCTACAGGCCACAAAAATCTTGATGATGGTGTTACAGAGATTGATTATGAGACCAAACAACATTACCTGGGCCTTAACTTTCATCTGCTCTTTCAAGATTTGATTATATTATATATTATATATAATATATATATTCTCTCTATATAAATTCTCGGGTATATAATATATAATATACCTGAGAATTACAAATTCTGGCTCACTTTCATGTGCTAACAAGTTTTTGATATACACAGATACCACCCGTGGACTCCACCACCCATGCTGTCTACTCTGTGTTCCCCACAAATGTTGTCCTTCCAAGTAGTATTGGCTGTGTACTGACTGCACTTGCAATGCCTGTGGTTCTAAAGTACAGTTGCCAAAGCCTCACAATGCTGTAAGGCCATTGGAAAATATAACTTTTTGCTGTTTTGATACTGTTTCCCTGATTATATGTCTCTCAAAGCATTGGCCTCAACAATAAAGCTTGCTTTGTATTTCAAATAGGTTTTTCTTTTTTCAGTTTAGTTTTTCTTCTTAGCTTTTGCTACCTATGTCCCTACAATATATATCAGACTGATTTGGAAGATTTTTATGATTCCTAGCAGACTCCTTATTGTGTCAAGCCTGCTGACCTACCCACTTGATTTTACTGGGTCAAGACAATGAACATGACTCTCTGTCTATCAGAATGAATTTCACTAAAGCTGTCCTTTGCCTCTTGTTGAGATAAATACTGGCTTACCTAACATTTTCCTTATCAGGACTCATCTGTCGAAGTCTGAGATGCTTACTATATCTGAAACACTGTTTGCTACATATGACCACTACACACTATTGTAGTGTAAGTTTTCCACACTTTCTGCCCTCCTATAGTTATTATTTTCTTATGTGATGAGCTATGTTACCAAGCTAACCCAATTTTATCAGATGATTGTGATAGTGCATTTGAAAGTGACTGAGTTGCCACCTCAACTTTAGCATTACTTGTCAGGTATCTGAAGAGTAGTGAATATATTCAGGGAGAGAATAAGAGAATTTCTTCAGAAATAATGATTGGATTTTGGGTGGAAAATTTAATAAGTAAACATTTTTAAAATATCTATAAACCAAAATTTTAATAGTTTAAGAAATGCAATATAAAGTAGTCCTTAGCTACACCTGTTTTTGGAAAAATCAAAAGCTCTTCAAATCTTCAGACTCAATCTTGCATTAATTATATGGGCAAAAGAATGAATTTGAGGAATTGTGCATTGAGAATGATGGTGATATTTATGATTCTAAGACTGCTTTTCTGTTTTGGAAGTATATCTTAATGTACAAATAATAAACATCTTCATCTAGATTTATATGGAAATCATGAGTGTAAAACCCTGCAGCAGACTAGTGAAGTGTCTGATTTAGTTGTAGCACTTTCTCTCTGAACTCATCAGAAAAAATTTTAATACATTTTAGTCCAAGATAGGCAAGCACTTGTAGAGGAAAAGCAAAGCGTTGGTATGCAACTTCAGAAATCTGTTGACTACATGTTCCCATATGTGTTCCAGGAAATTCACATTTGGATTTCAGTACAACTCAGAGTTATGGCAGTGCTATCCAACAGTTCTTTGGACTGAAGCTTGCTCGATACCAACATAAGGCTTGCCAAATCTCAACAGGCCAAATCCTGGTTCTGGAATATGTGGGGAGCAAGAGATGAGCAGTTGAATCATGAGGGCTGTATTGCTTTCAGTTCTCTGAGTAAACAGATTCTACCTAATAGTCTAGAAGGTCACTTTGAATATACTATCTAATCTTTTAAAACTGAAGTATTTCTCTTGTGGTGTATTGATAGCACATGTAGTAAAAAATAAAATTCAGTTTCTGGAAGAGATACCAAAGAAATAGCCAAGCAATGCCTTCAACATGAATTGTCATCTGTTTTATATTAATTAATTTGTTTAGTTGCAAGACAAAGAGGATAGAGGGAGAGAGGGATGGAAGGAAGAGGAGGCTGAAGAGAGAGAAGGAGAGTGAGAGGAAGGGATAGAAAGAGGGAGAAAGAGAGAGAGAGTGAGACTGTATCTTTCACTAGTTCATTCCTCAAATGCCCAGAAATACTTGGGCTGATAGAACACCCCCCAAAAAGAGATAAAAACACGATCCACACTCTCCGTGAGGTTGGCAGGAAGTCGGTTGTTTAAACCATCAGCATTGCCTTCCAGGACCTGCAACATCAGCGAAGTGGAGTCAGAAGTCAGAGTGAAAATGAATCCAGGTACTGTGATTAAAGATGTGGCCATCTTAACTGTCTGAATTCTTGCTCCCTATCTATTGATTCTTAGATTCAGATTACATGCCATCGTTTTCTAATCTATTTTAATTAGATACTCAATTTTATTTTGAAAGAGAGATGCAGAGAAAGAAAAGACCTTCTGTTCTCTGGTTCACTTACCAGATGGCTGCAATGGGCAGTGCCAGATTGGAAGCAGCAGCTTCCCCTGGGTTTTCCAAGTGGACAGAAGAAACTCAAACACTTGAACCATCTTTCTCTGCTTTCACAAGGCCGTTATTTGTATCAGGAGTGAAACATTTGGGACACAAACTGGCACGCATGTGGGATGTCAGTGTGGCAGGAAGCCACCTTGACCATTATGCCACAATGCTACTCTCTCATCTGTTTCAAAGCCTAACTATGAAGTTAAATCTCATGCAATAATTCCCATTACAACCTCTCTTAGTAAGTATTGACCTTATTTCTGCTAATGCGTTAAAACTCAATACTTCGTGGAATATAAGGACTGGTTCACATTCTTGGAGTGAACATTTGGTGTAGTAGCTTAGATGCTGATTAGGCCACTGTGTCCTATACTGGAATACCTGAATTTGATGCCCAGCTCTGGCTTCTGATGGATACAGATCATGGGAGGCAGTGATGATGATGGATAAAGTAACTGGGAGGATTGAGTTGAGTTCTCAGCTCTCAGCTCTCAGCTTTGATTCAGCTCCTTCCCAAATTGTGGGCATTTGAAAATGAACCAGTAAATGGAACTCTCCCTAGTAGTCCTTTTAAAATAAACAGTTAAAAAAATTAAAATATTTCTCCTCATATCAGTCCTCCTCTTTGAAAATAGACAATCATCCTTTTTATCCAAAAATTATCTCAATGTTTCTTACAATGTAAAATAGGAATGCTTTTCTGAATAGTTCTCTCTTAGCTTCTGTAAATTTTACTTTATTGTTATTTTTTTAACGATTCATTTCCTGATTTGAAAATCAGCAGTATGGAGAGATGAAGAAACAAAGAGAGAGATCGTCCATTTATGGTTCATCCCCCAGGTGGCTACAATAGCCAGGGATGAGCCAGCCTGTAGCTCATCCCACATGGGTGGGGGACCCAAATGTGTACACCATGTTCTGCTAATTTTCCCTGGATGTTAGCTGGTGGGCCACATAGGAAACATGACAATTGGACATGAACCAGCACCCCCATGGAATGCTGGCATTGTGTGTGGCAGCTTCACCGGCTTTAACACAATGCTAGCCGCTATGTCTGTAATTGTTAATATCTGTTTTGAAAGAAGGCAAACTAAAACTTGATGCAGCAGTGGAATGAAAGTGTGAAAAAATGGCAAGATCATTATATTTTTTTATTCATATAAATCTGTATATTCTTATATTGTATTTTTTCTTGGCAGAATATTTATTCACACATTACAACTGAGATGTATTTATGTTTCAGATGTTCTAGTATTTTATTAAATGTCATCTCTCATATCATATACTTAGGAAGAGAAATCCTAGATACTGTAGTACAGCATTGTAACTTATTTGTATCTCATATCTGTTGTGAGGATTAAGTAGCTAATTTAAGACCTATATTCTGCTATGATGCAAACGAGTAGCTTTGCTTTATTTATTTATAATACCTACAATTCACATTATTCATGTATTTTTTTTTTCTCAGGCTATCATTATTGTTCCAGTTTTACTGCTAAAAAAAATATTAAATGAGAGTTACTTGCCTAATGTGGCTTCTTATTAGACAAAGTCGTCTGAAAAATTTTGGATTTGTGCTATTCCCATGAGACCACACTACTAATATTTCATTTTATTTGTGCAGATAAAATTTTAGACTCATACTTTTCTGTTCTTGAGAAAAAAAAAACTTAATGCAGTGGAAAATTTGGAGAAATAAGTACATTTTTAGTGGGTTAGTAACATTTCAGTGTTATCATCAAAAACTTGATCTATAAATTGATTATGTATAATCAATTTAAATGGTTATTTTCAAGGTCAACTTCAATGCTTTGAGTTTTCTATTCCTGGACTGATGTGGTTAGAAAAGTTTTAAATGATTTTTGTTTTAAGATTTATTTATTTTTGTTGGAAAGGCAGATATGCAGAGAAGAGGAGAGACAGTGAAGAAGATCTCCCGTCTGATGATTCACTCCCCAAGTGACTGCAATGGCTGGAGCTGAGCCAATCCGAAGCCAGGAGCCAGGAACTTTCTCCAGGTCTCCCACACGGGTGCAGGCTCCCAAGGCTTTGGGCCGTCCTTGACTGCTTTCCCGGGCCACAAGCAGGAAGCTGAATGGGAAGTGGAACTGCTGGGATTAGAACAAGCGCCCATATGGGATCCTGGTGCATTCAAGGCGAGGACTTTAGCTGCTAGGCCACTGTGCCAGGCCCACAATAAATTTTTCATGTGTTTTTTAAATAAAATCTCTGGACCTTGAAATGATCATAACCATATTTTTATATTTTCCCTGCCCCCAGCTGAAAACTTTAATTAGATATCCTAGATGTAATCTTGCCTATTGTCAGGCAGGCATACAAATCACCCTTTACAGACTTTAGTCTATGGTTTTGTAAAACTGAGTAAATCAAGGAAATGGCAGATTTAACAAGATGATTTTTATCCATCAATACTGTTTGTTTCCTGAATGATTTTGCTATAAATGATATTGCTAACAAATATTCATCATACTATTATTTGAAATCTAACTTCAAATAAATCTATTTTCCAGTATCTTTCAGGTGTGTGTGTTTAGTGAAGACTGTGAACTAAATTCTGGTTGTGTCATCTGGACATTGATTGACATTGCAGAGCCATGCAGTATTTTAACTACTTACTGGATGTTGGGCTACAGGTTGGTGGTCAAACTACTTAAAAATGAAGTACAATTTCAAAGATGACAACTTTTAAATACATTTTATAATACCTATGGTTTCCTAAAAATTTTATTTTCCTTGAAGTGCTTAAAATTTCTCTCATATTAAGTAATCTAATCATAACATTTTTTTCTTGATGTGCCATTAGGCTAAAAACTTCCTATTAAATGTTCAGTTTGCTAATCAGAAAGAAAAGATAAATAGAATTTGGAGATATTCTATCTAATTTCTTTTAGACACATGACCTACTCTTTTTCTGGCTCCAGGTTAATGGATTCATTCACAGTATTTTTATTTATTAGATTTAAAAAGTGATAGTTTAGTTTGAGATCAGTGTTCTAAAGCAACATGATGACAAAAGTCTGATATTAATTTTTTTGTGGTTTTCACGGTTAATTGGTTAAAATGCATCGAATCAATATGAGTCATTGAAAAGTTTCTATTGATTAGGCATAACAGAGATTTTTATTTTAATAGAAGTTTCCTCTGGGTAACAGAATATGTCTTTTAAGAAAAATTATTGAAGATATATTAGAATAGTTAGAACATGGTTTACATTGTCAAATTTGTCAGAAGTTTCAAAAACAATATAACCCAATCTATGTGTAGAATATCCCTGAAATTAAATCTTTCCATATCATAACTTCATACATGAAACAATAAGCTGAATCAGTACACATGCTTAATTTTATACTTTGACCCAGTTGAAATTGGTTTTCAACCAACTCACTGAAGTCCAAGGCCATGGTCTCCATAACTTGAGCCAAATCAGACAAGGAGCAGCCTATTTGGCTTCTTAGCTGGTGGAAAGGCTTTGTAATGTTATAACCTAGGGCTGAGCAAAAATACATCTTGAAACTACAGTTTCTCCTGGATTTCTCCACTCCATTATGTCTACAAATTGAAATAAATTTATTTATTTACTGAGTAAAGTATAGTAAAGTACTATATTTTAATAGTATGTTTTTTAATGTTTTGAAAAATCAAGGAACAAAAATATGCCAGTTACCATAACAATTTTAAACTGCTTGATCTTACATTTTTTTCAAATTATCAATTTTAATTTTATTCTAGTCTCATTCGTGTACTGGAGCTGTGTGCTGGAATGTGCATTTCTGGTGCATATTTAGTTGATAATGATAGTATTCCTAGAAAATTCAGAATAAGATGAAGTAAATAGATAGTACGAGGTTAGTAGAAAATATTGGGATAATTGTCTTTGAAAATGTAATTCTCTGAGTGTTGAGTCAGGAAACAAAATTGAAATTAAATTACAAAGACTTTATATAACAAATATTTATTGATCTATAGGCAAATCATAAGACAGACTTATTTTCATCACATAGATCTTTAAAATCCACACTATTAACTGAGGATTTAGTCCTCGTTCCCTGTTATGGATAACTACTAATGGAGGAAAATGTGTATTGTTAAATGTCAGCAAAATGTAGTTATTCATTCACTCTATCTTAGGAGAGATCTTACCTGATCCCAATAAGATGCAGAAAGAAACCCATTTGCTGATAGAAAAAAAAAAATCACTCATTAGCATCTGGAGTTCATGTGGATATTTGCTCAATAATTAGCAGCAGTCCTTGTTCAGCTACATTCCTACATCTGGGAACAAAACATCATAGGAACTAAAAATAAAGACAAGGGGAAAAGTAAAAAATTGCCTGCTGTAAAATAGAATGATTAGTCTGCCGTATAAATTAAAGGGATCATGACACCCCTTTGGGAGTAAAAAACACTTTCTGCAATAGACGTGTACTCCTTTTGCCCCAGTTTCCATGCAGAGATGCTTTAGAAAAAGTCTCTCCTCTGTTTCATTACAGAAAAATTGTGCATGATTTACCTATCACTTGTCTGGCATGCTCCTAATAATATTGGAATCACCTGGTTCAATCATAGATGGTGTGAATACTTTAGAATTTTTCATGCACTGTGTGCCCTCCAATATTAGTGCCACTGCAGTGATGGAGATTAATTTTGGCTAATATGGCATAATACTGTATTTCAAATTTCCCCAAAACTGGAAATTATTGATGAGAATAGGCTGTTTTCTTTACCTGGTCTGATTGTTTTTGGAGTCTACTTGTGTCCCAGCACATCCTTTCTCCTTTTTGTAACAAACTGGAGCTAAGAGTTGGTCCAGCAACCATTTTGTCTTCGAGGCCACAATAATTCTGCATTAGGTGCAGAATGGCCACCAACCAAATGTAGCCTCAGTGACGGTCAGGGAGCAAGTTCTGTCAATGGTACTTTATTATCTGTTCAGAAGGAGAGTTTGTAATGGTAAATCATGGTTGCATGATATGTGACCTAATTCAAAATATAATCACATTGATAAACTTTCAGTGAAACAAAATATAGCAATACAAATAGATTGTTCTTGTGTTTCTTCCAGGCATAATTAACAAAAACTATTTAAACTAACTCATGAAGAAGGTGATTTACATAAGTTCAAATGAATTTGCATTCATTAGCATGTTATGACTAGGGAAGGTATGTATCAATGTTATTCTTAACAGGAGAAAAATTGCAGAATATCAACTGTACCAAATATACTGCAGTTTTGTTCCCATTAAGAATGGTAAAATAAACATTATGCCCAATAGTGGCAGGTTTCTTGAGACCTTGCTGAAAATTTATATTCTCTAAGCTGAGAACTCTGTGGAGATGCAATGAATAACTTTGCCAAAGTATTGTGGATTACATACCATATGTTTTCTTATATTGCTTTTCTTTTAATTGGCTGGAGAAGAAGCCCATATGGTAAACACAAGCAGTGTCGATAGTTCATTGTAAGGATGAAAATATTCTCCAGAGATTTGATCTTTGCTTGCCAGATCCCTCTAGGCCAGTTTGAATAAAGTTGATCATTGCTTCTGATCTTGTCTCAAAAACAGGACCCAGAAGGAAGCCTGAAAAACTACTGATCATGTTTTCCTCTGGCCTGTGATTCTTGATTATGCATGCTGAAGTCTGACTCTGGGAGTTCTCAGGGAACTTCATTTACACCACACTACAGACTTGCATTTTTTTCTCTCCCTTCATCATATATTTTTGCTAGGTTGGTTTCAATCCATCAACCAGATGTCATCATCTTAAACAATTTAACCAATAGTATTCGTATGTGAATATTTGTGCTGAATTGATTGTCATTTTGGACACTTCAAGACAAATGTAGTTTATCACAAATGAAAAATATTCCTGTTAGGCTAGTGGAATAAAGCATTTGTAACTGCTTCCTTTTCTGCTTTTTTATATTTTAAGCCATTTTAGAACTCTATAGCCAAGATTATCATGTACTTGTTTTCTGTTCCTTACCTTCTGTTTTGTATCCTAAACATTCCTCATGAACTGCAAGCAATTCCTTTTATATTTATCTCTTCCGAGAATTTCTTTAGATCATGATATTGAACAAATTTTTTGTCTCCACTTGTTTCCTTTCCATTTTGTATTACAAACAGAATTATGAAATATCTCCAATTGCATCTGGTAAGGAAATTTAGATGATCTAATGCACTTATTGACTTACCCATTGAAGACCAAAGTCCCTTATTCTTTTCTTTATCTTTTTTTAGATTTGAGTCGTAAGCCCAAGAGACACAATCTGAATAACGTAATCACAAATAATGAAATTCCAAAAGCTCAAAATCCCAAAATTGTAATTCGGAGGAAGAAAGTTAAATTTTTTTTAAATAGATTGAATTTTTACATTAGAGATTTGTTTGAGAAATAAAAACATAACTAAGCACACTTTAGGCCACTTTACACAGTAAAATAGGCAATAATAACAAGCAAGTGCTTATGTAAACACAAATACTAAAATATATGAAAGAAAATGCACAAGCTTACAGTAATGAACAGATGAACTTAAAAGAAAAATGTATGAATGTATTTAGTCTGGTTGCAATTATGAGCATGTAGCACATGTATCTTGGTCATCAGAAATACGATGATAGGTTGAGCATGTATCTGCAAAGTCAATTTATTTTCATAAAGGTCAGAAAACTTGTACAGTGGTATATTTTTACAGATGTATGACTGCTGAAAATTTATCCTGATACAGTTGGCATTAATTAGATGTATTGGAACATAAGGCCAGTGTTAATTACATTTCAACAGAGCTTTTGGAAAGACTGGACAAACCTAAGAAAGGTAATTAAAGACAGTCAGAAAGAATGTTCCATTTCAAGAGGGTTTTAAGTGTTGGTGGTACATATATCAAAGAAGGAAAACAGATTTATTTTTAAGTAGTTTAGAAAACACAATAAATTTGTGTTAGTTCAAGTAAAGTAAGCATTTGATATCCTTGTAGCATAGCTTTTCTACAATGAAGAAAAGCTGTATTTCTCAGAAATTTTGTAGTACAATTCTGTTCATAACTTACATTCCACAAACACTGAGGCACCTAATTGAAATCTGAGGTTGAAGCAAACAGTACTGGTTTTATTCATGAAGTCTGATCATTTGGCAATACTAGCTGGTAAGGCATTTGATTCTTTTCAAGTAAGCAGAGTTTAAGTTTCTGGGAACCATTCTCTGGCATCCTGAGGATCTAGCTGCTGTGTAAGTGCTTTTGGAAGTGTAGGTATTGCTCCTGTATGCTCTGTTGCTGGTTCTGTGTCATCCAAACTCAAATTTTTGTTCTCCTGGAAGTTCTATAAACAAATTCTCCATTTCCTCATCACAATAGTAGCCATTTTTCTAAAACTAGATAATAGCTTAATAGAGTATTGATTGTACATATGGCATAGATTAATTGATGGAACTGAAGTTTCATTACTGAACTTTCCTTTTTTTTTGCAAAATGCTATTATTTTATTTTTAAAACATTTATTTATTAATTTTTATTGAAAAGTCAGCCATACAGAGAGAAGGAGAGACAGAGGAAGATCTGTCTGCTGATTCACTCCCCAAGTGACTATAATGGCCGGAGCTGAGCCAATCCAAAATCAGGAGCCAGGAGCTTCTTCCAGGTCTTCCATGTGGGTGCGGGGTCCCAAAGCCTTGGACTGTCCTCAACTGCTTTCCCAGGGCACAGGCAAGGAGCTGGATGGGAAGTGGGGCCACCAGGACCTGAACTGGCACCTATAGAGTTTCCTGGCATGTGCAAGGTGAGAACTTTGGCCGCCAGGCTACTGTGTGGAGTCCAGGATACTATTATTTTTGTTTGACAGGCAAGAGTGGCAAAGAAAGCGAGAAGACGCACACATAGTTTTCCCATGCACTGGTTCATTCCATAACTAGCCGCAACAGCTAGATTTGGGCCAGACTGAAGTCACCAGCCAGAAACCCACAGAGATAACAGGGTGCCAATTATTTGGACCATGATCCATTGTTTTTCTAGATGCTGGATCGGGAGTAGAGCAGATAGGAACTGCACCAGCACTTTTACATGGCATGCCACGCCTGGTTGAACATTCTTAAAATGATAGAGAGTTACAGAAAGTCTCATTTGACACATTTGATGTTTTGGTTCTCAATTTCTACACAGTATTTCTAAATTTGTGTGTGTTCGAGGAACTGGTATCACTATCTTCGTTGTGTTATACTTAATTAAAATTTTTTCTTAGTGTTAATAATTGTTATTTCATTGTGCATATTTATGGGGTATGGTGTGATAATTCATGCTTGTGTTCATTCAGTGGATGCTGATCAAATAAGGTTAGTCAGCACTTTTATAATTTAATCCTGTGTATTGGTAGATTACATAATGTGACAACCACAATGATGGAACATTTGTTAGCCATTTGTTTTTTTTTTTTTTACTAAGAAACAGAACTACATAAGCTTAAAACTCCCTAGTAATTCTTTAATTTCATCATGCTAAATTTGTACCAATTGTTGCATAAATATTTTTAAGATTTTATTTGCATTCATGTCAGTATATATATAGGTTATATATTGCAATTTTTTAAATCTTTATCTCTTCTGACCTGTAAACTCACTTTATGCTTCATTCCCTTTTGTATTTATTTGAAGAAGAAACAATAATATGTCCTGAAGAATTTCTCACAGTCTGGGTTTCACTCATTGTACCCTGGTAGAACTATTTTACTTCTTTTCCCTGTATTTTTCAATGCACTGGTGAAATTTGGATTTTTTTTTTTTCAAAATACTTCATACATGGTGATTTGCAATTTTATTAGGAGGCACACATTTTGTAGTTGCTTCTCTATTTATAGTGTTAACTGTCATTGAAAAATATTTTCTTTTTTTAAGACTTATTTTATTTTTATTGGAAAGGCAGATATATAGAGAGGAGGAGACCTTCCATCCATTGATTCACTCCTCAAGTGGCCGCAATGGCTGGAGTTGAGCCAATCCGAAGCCAGGAACCCGGAGCCTCTTGTGGGTCTTCCACATGGGTGAAAGACCCCAAGGTGTTGAGGCATCCTCAACTGCTTTCCCAGGCCACAAGCAGGGAGCTGGATGGAAAGTGGGGCTGCCAGGATTAGAATAGACACCCATATGGGATCCCAGGTATGCAAGGCTAGGACTTTAGCCACTACTCTACTGTGTTGGGCCCAAAAATTATTTTCTAAATCTATTAGTTCATTAAGGATTATTGATAGTCTAACTCTCTGATGCCTGCATTTATTTGGTAACAAGCACACTTGTTTTATTTCCTGTATATTATTTCTATTTTCAGTATTCTCTTAGCAGTTCCTTATAATTGAGTGGTATGTACATCATTAGAGAATACAGCTGAGATGGACTGTGCATTTTCCTTGTGTTTATCACTTTGCTTTAGTTCTACAGGCAAGTACATATTAAATTCTCATTGTTACTTCTCATACATCCTCCTTATTTTCTACTGCCAAATCATTTTTGATTGTCTGAAATTTCTTCTATAATAGAATCCTCAGAAGATTCTATGGTGCAGTATTTCTGTTTTCACAAAAATTGAACATTATGATTTGAAGGTTGCTTCGACTGCCTATAAAATCCTTATCTCACATTTTCTTTCCTAGGGTTCACAAATCGATGAAGACATTTTATTGTCTTCTCTCCTAAAGAATTGTTGTAAAACATGAAATCATCAAGTGTTCTTTCCCTTAGAAGTGACTCACTCTTTTTGTCTATATTTTTGAAGGGTATTTTTTTTTCCCTAAAAGCTAGTGTTACTATAATATACCTCAGTTTGGTATCATCTAATTACAATTTTTTAGGTATGTGGTTTGCTTATCCATATATCCATATATATATTTCATATATATATATGAATCGATGCTTGTTTATTTTAGAAAAAAATTCCTGAATTGTACGATTTAGTATGGATTATATTGTTGTCTTAGATGTGTTCACTGGGGACTTGTATTACCAAATTGCTGTATCATTTTTTAAATGCTATATTTTCTTTTAATTTCCTCTTTTCCGTATTTTGTTTTCATAAGACATTATTTGTGTATACAAACATTTTATCCATTACCCAAATTCATTTCTTCTTATTCTTATTTTTCTCTTAGTTTGGTCATCATGTATGAAATGAGTTTTACTTTTAATTTTAAATCTTTCTTGCATTTCTCCCTTTTTTTCAGGACACATTTTTTCCTACACTCATTTCTGAGTTTTAATATTTATATTCATTAACAGTTCCTACTATTTTCTTAAATTGTTTTTTAATAGGAAATGTTAGGAACTGTCTTTTTCATTGTGTGATGATTTCTGGCATACATAATTGTCTATGTAAATAGTATTCTTTTACTATTCTTTTTTCTCAAACAAAAAACCTACATATAATTTTTCCACAATTCATTCTTCTTTCTGCTTTTAAGTGAGACAATTTCCCTACATCCAAAGAAAGTCAGAATCAAGTGGACTTAGTATCATGGCTCTGGACTTTACAGCTTTCTTATTCAAGAGCTTCCCTATAGATTTTGAGTCCTTGCCCCAGCCTAGCCCAGTCCTGGCTATTTGCATTTGGAGACGGAACCAACATATATGTTAGCCCTCTCTCAATCTCTCACTTGCTCTCTCTCTGTCTTTCAAATAAAACAATACACTTTTAAAATTGCTTAACAAAATATCAAATTGCACATGTGGAGTCCTGGCATGCTAGGAGCCTGTGATTGCTATATGTCCAACCTGTTTCTGTTCAGGTTGTCCCTCCTCCTTAGTTTGGCTAATTTGGAGAGTTCTTGGTGTAAAAACTCCATCCATGTTGTTCTTTCCACTTGGTCCTTTGAACTGAATCACCATCTCTGAGGACCATTCCAGATGTAACTTCTATTGTCAGATTGGCTCAGTGAACTTTAAACAGATAACATGATATCTTATTTTGGGTGTAAATATCTTTTAGAAATTTGAATTCTAGAATTCAGAATTCATGAGAAGTGCTTTTGCATTCATTGTATTTTTTCTGGTAGTCCTTATATTCGTATTTTAAATTTTGCTCTAGGTGTTGGTTGTTTAATTTTGTTTTGCCCCTTTATCCTTCCTGAGCTTCCTTTTTAAACTTTCTTTTAGGGTCTGGAAGGATTACCATCAGACCAATTTTGCCTATACTTTCTTGCTGGAAACAATAGTCAGTTTATCTTAGCTTTATTTCATGACTTAAGGTATTTGAACTCTTGAAGAGTTATAACATTAACTTGAATCAGATATTTGGTGGCAGTTGTCAAGATGCAACTTGGGACCTCTACATCCCACATAAATGTGCATAGGTTGAAGTCCTGCCTCTGTTCCCTCATTGCAGCTTCCTGTTAATGTATGCTATGGGAAGCAGCACATCATAGCTCAAATGTTTCGGTTCCAGCCACCCACGTGGGAGACCTGGAATGAGCTACCTTGTCTTTGGTTTGACCTTGCCCAGGTAGGGCTGTTGCTGGTATTTGGGAACTGAGACAGCAAATAAGACATCTCTGTCTCTCTATGTATATTTGTTTCTCTGCCTATTGAATAAAAATAAATGGATACATAAAAATGCTTAAATTCTATGTTAGTTGGGTATTATTTTCTTTATTTTGGACACTGATTTGCTAGGAATGAATGTATTTTAAAAGAATATTTTAAACATTTATTTGGAAGGCAGAATTACAGAGAGAACTGGGAGAAAGAGAGAGAGCAATAGAATCTCCTATCCCCTGATGCACTCCCCAGATGACTGCAATCATCAGATTTGGCCAGGCTGTAGCCAGGAAGCCAAGACTTGGTCTGCAGTCTCACGTGGTTGGCAGGGCCTGAAGTACTTGGACTCTTTTCCTCTGCCCTTCTTAGGCAGATTAGCAGGAAGCTGGATCCAATGTGAAGCGCTCAGACTCAAACTGGTACTCAGCAGTGGCTAAACTTGCTCTGCCACAATATTGGCCTTGAAAACAGTTTTTCTTTTTTTTTTTAAAGAAACTCTTCTGGTAATTTATAGCTTGAACTCTCCTTTAAGGCTGTGTCATCAACTCAAAGAAAGAGCTGCCCTCACTTCTTCCCCAGATGCTGTCTTGGGGAAAGGGAATTTTGTCTTCAGTAGTTTCGAGACAAAACCATGATCCACTTGTCCTGTGCTTGTGCTTTGGTCTTAGAGAGATCTGTCAAGTCTTTAGATGATCAAATGTCACCTACTAGTTTCCCTTGAGGAATTTTGAACTCTGCATCTTGAATTCTTCATTGTTATTTTATAATGAACTACTGAATACTTATGGAAGAATATATTTGTAATATATGTACAAAAATATGTGTACTAAAACAGATCCAACAACTATCACTTACTCACTGCCTGGTTTAATGAAGAATACCTGCCTAGCTTAGGTAGTGCTGATTCTCATGTGATTTTTCACTTTACCTGGTTTTCTCCTATTTAGAGGGAACATAGTCCTAAATTCTGTTATCATAACTCCCTGGCTTTTCTTTATAGCTTTGTATGTTGACAGCCTTAAGCTTGTTTTTTCATTAAAATTTAGGTTCTTGATTTTGTACTAATAGTTTTATATGATTACATTTTACTAAGTTTTCTTAAACACACAACATCTTGTATTTAAGATATAGATATAATTTTTATGACTTCTATTAATGGCAAAAGTTCTAGATTTTACATTCTAATTGTTTTACTTTAAAAATCTTTCTACATGTACTTTCTTATTAATATATGCAAATGTGTTCCTATAATATGTAGCACAGAATGAAATATCTGTATGGGGCATAATCATTTCTGTAGAAAATGTTGATTCCATGTTCTCTTGAGGTCTTATATCATTTGATATCTTATTACATTACAGTCTTATCACTTGAGAAAGGCAGTAAATATCTTCTTAACTAACAGAAAGTGTGTTTTATATCTGTTTACCTGTGTACAAATGTGTGTGTATATATATATACACACACATAAAGATATACATGCTTGTATACATACATCATTATAAATCTATACATGTTTATACACATGAATTTGCTATGTATAGTATGTATTTTATGTCATGTATGTGATAAAATATATCAAAGATTGGCTTATATGGTTTGAAAAGAGTTGTGTGGTCTTTTAATTTACAAAGGAATATGGTAATTTATTTGCTTATAAAGGACTAAGGAATTCATTCCATCTTTTTTTTTTTTTTACTTTTATCCTAAATGTTTTCTTCTCACCTAATAAAGGAGGGAAGGAATGTTTTGCCAGGCACAAGACCCATTTGGATCTGTGGTTACGAAATGTCAGTCCCAAATCCAACTTTCTAGAGCTTAACCTTGTTTGCTTTTAGCTAAATTAGCTTCCTGTTTCTAAGAAAGGAAAAAGTTACATTTCAAAACTTTATTAAAAAGATCACGAGTGGTCTCCCAAACTCAGTGGCTCACATGACAAAACACTTTGATAACTTAAGTACAAACGAATCTGTATATGTAAGTTAAATTTGCCTGTTAAATACTGTTTGCTTTACAAATTCAAAAGGGGAGTAATAGACAGAGACAAAATAAATATCCTTGTAGAAAAGGCTGCCAGGGATTGGCCCAACCCAAGTGTTTCAAAAACCCTGTTACTGAATATCCATAATGAACCCCAAATTTCTCTAGATTTTGTGCTTTTCCTTCCTGTAATTACATTGTACTTATTCCCACTGCCAACTTCAAATGACCCTCTCCTCCTGACTCCCATGCAAAACACAGGGCAGCTAAAAAACTTTGCTTAAACTTCCTAATACTTTTAATCCTTACTTGTTATAATTTGATTACTGAGACAGATTTTCTCTGTGGGCCTCCTATTAAATCACTTTCAAGTTGAAACAAACCAGAAATCCTTTTAAATAACAGAGCTAGTATTCCCTTTAAGCTGTTCAGAATTTATACAGAAACTGTAGAATGTCTCTTCTGAAATGTTGTAAATGTGCCCAAAGGCTACTGTGATGGGCTTATGCTTCCAACCTAACCAAAATAAATAAATAAAAAAAATATGGGAACACAATGTTCTGGGTCGTAAAGTAGAAAACGATGTGATTCAAGTTTATATCTGATTTTGTTTATTTTCCATGATTTTAGTTATTGGCATTGATAGTTACCTCAAAAGTAACAGTGGCAGTAAGCTCTTGATGTACTCAACAGTATTAGCTCTGTTTAGTTAGGACCAGGTCCAATCTTTACATAATGTTTGTACATTTAAAATGAAAGAAACTGTATAATCATGTGTAAATGTTTTGTTTTCCTCCCCCCCCCTTTTATTTTCTTGATTAGTTTCACAATATTCAGGAATGATTTAGAACCTATAACCTTCAGATGCTTCTCTGATTTTTTCACCTGGTAGGAATAACACAAACA